AGTTTGTCCGGGCGGTGTACTTGCGGCTCAACGACCCTGAGTGTCAAATCTGCCATGCTGCACACAGCTGAAACGCTGTCACATCTTTTTTTTCCAGGTGCCCGAGTGCAGTGCACTAGTGCCCGAGAGCAGTGGACTTCCGGAACCCGTGACGCACAGAGTGCGCAGATCGGTCCCACTAGAACTGTTTCTTGCGCAGCAGTGGTTACTTGGGCCGATCGCCGACTGTTTGCCGTTGACGGATCATGCTCTCCCTACCCTTTTATTGTCAGCAGATCATTAGGGAGGGTCAATGTTGATGCGCCCAATGGGGGACAGATAGGCAGGGGCGGAGACTTTTACCACGGTCAGGGAGGTGCAGTGACTGGCCATTTGACTCGGGTGCTAGCACCGCCGATTTCCCCCATGATCGGCAATGCCTGCCCACCCCTCGTCACCGTGATGACGAGGGACTGGTACAGCCTTGCTCTCGCACCACAGCTGTGGTGCCAACCTACTAACCCCATGGGCTGGGGAAAGCTCCGGGTTGGTTGGTGTTCCCCCGTACTATACATAGACTAGCGAGAAGATGAGATAGACGAGTACAAGAAAAGAAAATGAGATAGACGAGAGAAGAATATAGCTTACTTTTGAAACAACAAGGACAAAAGAAAAAAACAGGTTCACGAAGACACTTCACACAGCCGGCCCCCCACTGATTTGCGGCAGTGGCACGTTCGTTGCAGCGGCGAAGCCCCCTCACTGGCCGGTCCCTGCTTTTTTTCGGGCCCTCTGGTTGCAATTCTTTGATATTGCTCAATGTGGTCTTGCAGAACAACTCGTCATCCTTCGGTGAGCTCTCGCAGATGTTGTGATAAACTCCGTAGGAATCTTGTTTTCGCGGAGAAGCCCCTCACTTGTCTGCAGAACGACTCGTCATCCTTCGTTGCAGCGGCGAAGCCCCTCACTGCCTGTGTCTGCTTTTTTTCGGGCCCTCTGGTTTCCGAATTCCTGTTTGTGAACTTTGCGGGAGTTAAGAGGTTGGCTTCTGCTCTTTTTCTTTTCGTTTGCTTAGGAAGTTTGAAGCTTCGCATCATAGGATCGTCTGGGGTGCCAGAGTCGATTCCGCTCTGATGCCAGAGTTTGCATCATAGGCTGGTAAATCGGGCCCGCTTTTCAGATCTGCGGTGCGGCGTTTCTCTTGGTCAATGTGGCTTTCTCTAGGTCAATAGACTCGATACGTTAAACCGCCAGTACGTTTCCCATATCCACTGTTTAAGAGACGCGGCGCGCATGCCGGTGGTGTTTCGTGGCTTCTCCGTCCGGGAAAAATGGGGCGCATGCGCGGCCCATTTTGCCTGGATGGATCTCCACTCCAGCAACGCGGCACCCCAGTACTTCCTGCTCAACGTGGTACCATGTAACATTGTGTGCAGCCACTGCACCGAAGTGGGAAGCTCCCCACCCGTTCCTTCAACTACGTTGTTAACAACTAACCGTCCGGTTTACCCTGAGCCGCTGGTCATCGTGTGCGGTGCCAGAGTCGATTCCCAGTTTGGCCAGGACTTGGGCGCAATCCTTGACTGTCTCGCATCAGTGAAGGACTGTAGCCCCGCCTCAGCGCGCTGCTAGGGCGTCAAAGGAGTGCTGGCACCCGTTTTCTCACCTTTTACATGCTTGCTACCGTCTTCACCCGAATAGTACGCCCGGTCATTATCGCTGCATCTAGACAGAAAACTTCCCCAGATACGGCTATAATGACCGGGCGTTCTATTCGGGTGAAGACGGTAGTACAGGCAACCCAGCTGTTGGCGCCAGAACAGATGGGGGGGGGGGGCAGTGTGGTGGTGTGGGATTGAGAAGAAAAAGGGGAAAATTTCCGAAAAAAGAAAAAGAAAAGAAAAAAAACAGGTCCTTATGGGCCCAGCTCCACATCCATTCTAGCGATAATGCTGAGTCATTTATAACATCGAGAAAAAAAGGAAAAAAACAGGTCCTTATGGGCCCAGCTCCGCATCCGTTCTGGCGATAATGCTGAGTCGTTTATAACATCGAGCCAGAGACAGGGGATGGTGGGCGCAACTTGTCTTCCATTCGGGGGAAGAAGGTAGCACAGCGCTGCTGTTTGTTCACAACGCATATGCGCTATGTTCGGGGGAAGAAGGTACCACAGCGCAGAGTTCTTTGCCGAGTGCTTTGACAGAGCGGCTCACAAATAGCGCTGTGCTACCTTCTTCCCCCGAACATAACGCATATGCGTTGTAAACGAATACACCGCATAGGGTGCATTCTATATTGGAATACAACGCATATGTGTTCTATCCGAATATCCCTAAATTTCGAATACAACGAGTAGGTGCAGTCTATATTCGAATACAACGCATATGTGTTCTATTCGAATATCCCTAAATTTCGAATACAACGAGTAGGTACAGTCTATATTCGAATATAACCCATACGTGTTCTATTCGAATATCCCTAAATTTCGAATACAACGAGTATTTGTTCTAAACGTTTTTTTTTTCCAAATTCCGAAAGTCGAATACAATGCATTTGCGTTGTGTTCGGGGGAAGAAGGGTAGGTAGGCTCTGCAAACTGCTCTGCAAACTGCTCTGCAAACTGCTCCTGGAAATGGCTATCCAAAGTGTTCACCAAAGTAGTTACATACGCAACGTACCCTGATCCCCATGCAAAGTGCTGTGCTAAGCACTCTGCAAAGAGCTCTGCTAAGCGCTCTGCCAAGTACTCTGCTCCGCAAAGTTCTCTGCTAAGCACTCTGCTAAGCGCTCTGTGCTAAGCACTCTGCAAAGTACTCTGCAAAGCATTCTGCTAAGTGCTCGGCGTGCAAAGTGCTGCACTAACCGCTCTGCGTGCAAAGTGCTGTGCTAAGCGCTCTGCATGCAAAGTGCTCAGCATGTTGCACCGTGCCCTGCAACCTGGGATGTGAACTGTAGAGTATGATTTCCAACGGTGCTATATACATGGAAGGCAGCCACCCTTTAGCATGACAACATGAGAAACAACATGTCTCACATGTTGACCAAAAGCAAGGGGGGGGGGGGAAGATTACACCCCTGCTTTTGTCCCCATGATGCTGACCTACAGTCTACCGCCTTACAGACACCCAAGACCACCACTGCCCGACAAGAGGAGGGACGAGGATCCAGTTGGCCGAGGCCTGCCATGACCACAAAAGGACTTCCAGCAACCAACCTCTGCTGCTGGATGTCCAATGCCCTCGGCTGACCTCCGACGTCAGGCAACTGTGCACAACAGCTGAGGTTCAGCATGTCGAGGGCCTGGCAAACAAACAGGATTTGAAAAAAAAAAAAAAAAACACTTCAGTGACAGTGTTGGTTTAACTCTAGGCTAGCAGAGTGGCCCGGGGTCACTTGCCCGGCCGGGCCAAAAAAACAAACAAATATATATATATTTTTAATTTTAAAATATATTTTTTATTTTAAATTTGGTGAAGAATTTCGATGTAACCCTGAGGCAAAAGTTGTTCAGTTTATTTTTCTGCATAACATAGGTTGGCCAGCCGGGACCCGAGCGGCCCGGCTGGTTTTTTTTTTTTTTTTTTTTTTTTTTCCGAAGCTTCAAGGAGCGGGTGAGATTACCATTTTGTATTATTGATCCAAATAAGTTCTCCTCTACGTTCTTCCCCAGAATACAACGCACGGCTATTATAGCTCTGTATTTGGGCCATCTTTCAGTCTAAATACTAAATAGTAAATACTAAATACAGTTATAATAATGACCGTGTGTTGTATCCGGGGGAAGAAGGTGAGCTATCCAACTGCGCTGGCAAAAGATTAACGAGGCAGAATCTTGTCTGCCTTGAAACACCGTTGTGGGGTCTGCAATTGTAATTTAAAGCTGGAGGATTTCAGATTGAAAAAAAAAAATAAAAAAAAAATCGGCATTCGTGTCAAAAACACGCAATGAATGCAAAATCCATTAAAATTTAAAACGTAAGGAAATGATATGAAAGAAGAAAAAATGATTTAAAAAAATCAGATATCTATCAACAGCAGGCAACGGAGCAAACTGTACATGACTGCAAACTGTAGCCATCAGCACCGATAAGAAAATCGAAGGACTCGAGAAGAAGGAGAGGAGCCATATTATTCAATGGTCAGTCATTGACAGTACAACTGTTCGTTTCAAAACACAAAAAAAAAAAGTCTTCGAAGTTCGAAACGACATGAAACTGCACGAGTACCTACTCGACGTACGGTATAATAATAACATTGCAGAATGACAGGGATCATTGAGAGGCGACTATACGGAGTAAACCTGACCTGGATGCATGAATGTGATTGACAGAGGGAGTTATAAAAGGAAGGAGGAAGAGAGAACAAATAACGGTAGAGGCGCGGAAGCTCAGGGCAAAAACAAAACAAAAGAGGCTCTGCAAATGTCAATCGAAGAACACAGTGCTCTCAGACAAGAAAGCTTTTCTCTTCGATCATGCTTTGCCTGACGAAAGCATGAAATAAGAAATTACAACGAGAAGAAATTGAAGAATACTGATTAAAAACTTCCAAGTTCTAAAGCATATCTGTTCCCTACCGCAGCCTCCTCCCTCCTCCCCTCCCCCTCTCCTCCCTTCGTA